TCAGCTGAAAAAATGAACAGAAAAAAGTATTAAGTCAAATGATTGTTCATCTAGTTGACCCCAAACAACCAGTTTGACTGATTGTTTTCTGTTGAGTTGTCATGAGCTAACTGTGGTGTTCATTAGAAGGAGGCAGAATAACTCAAAGAGTCTCCAGGGTTGCCATTGCTTCTTTATAGAGAAGAAGCAAGGTTTCATGATAAAAACTTAGACTTTGGTCCCACACTGCCCCTTACAGCTTAATGTCTTTGGGCTAGTCATTGAACACCCCGAAATTCTAATTTTCTGATCTCTAAAATAGGGGCCAACCAAATACGCTTTAAACACCTTGTACAGGTTTGTAAGAATAATTGGGATTTGATTTTCAAATGAAGGGGGTAAACAAACAAAAAAGAAACAGACAAAACCTCTCAACAATGTCTAGAGCAGCTCCAATATTAGTTAAGTTTTCTTTTTAAGAAAATATTCCAAGATTTAAAAGTTTGAAAATTTCTGAATGTTTTCATTTATTTATTAGCATATTCATATATAATTACTTTGTCTTGATATATGCCAGATAGTGTCCTAGACTCTGGAGATACTATAGTGATCAAGATAGACAAAATCCTGACTTTCATGAGGTTATATTCTAGTGGGATGATGCTCATAAAACTGTGAAGAAAACGAATAAAATTGATTATTATTCTTCTAGAAGGTTGACTCTAACAAAATCAGTAAGTCTGACTCCTACTTGGAGAACATATGAGATCCAGGTGTGAAAACCAAATATCTGTGTTGGATTTCCCAAAAAGTTGTGCTTACTTTGCCAGAAACACTTTTTCTTTGCAGGAATAGAGTTGCCAAATGGCAAGAAGGGCTCCAGTGGTACCTAGTGCAGGCATCCTTCCCTTTGCTCAAAATTGCCTACCAAACTTCCTCTTTGTAATACCCCCAATTCACCACTCCCCACCCTTTAATTCTATCAATGTTTAACCAATGGCTGTCTATGGATTAACTTGGGGCAGTTTTTCCTAAGTGCAGGTCATTTCCATACCACTTCCTATTTTTTTTTCTCTTTTTTGCTGTATTCATATATTCCATCAGTATTTACTTCCTATCTAGTTTTAAATCTACTCACATTTCACTTAAGTAAATTTACTTAACCAGTAATTTCTAGCAAATGAAAAACCAGAACTCCTTTCCACAAACCAGAATGTAAATACTACACAAATACTACACAAACAAAATAATGTCATTAAACTTGAAAGTGCTGCCTGTTACAGGTTCTGAGCCTGAGGCCTGCTCTTTCTTTCTTAAAGAGAAAGAGCATTATAGCTAGGGTTTATAATGCTGCTAAAGATACACTTACACTAAACTAGCACTTTCTGCTTGCCGTAATTAGAAATATGGAAGTTGAAAAGGGTTTGTCTCAGTATGTTGCTCAGCATTATTTAATTCCATGGCTGCATACCACTTAAACTTTGCTCAAGTCCCACCAGGGCTGAGTGCCCCACTTTGGAAAGCCATGTCTAGGGAGCTTGGCTTTGGTAGATCTTACCATAGGTAAGGTGACACCTCAGCTCAGGAGGCAGATGACACCTCAGCTCCAGGAGACAAGTACCTCCCTTTGTCCCACTGTGCCCTAGGTATATGCCTCCATGTGTCACTCAGGTAGGGATGATTTTTCTGTGTCACAGCTCCAGGTCTTCTTTATGCTGTTTCTGATGCAGAATCTGGGGCTCTCTGCAAACTACATTTCTCCCTTATCACGGGATTTCTTATCCCTCTGCCAACTGAAGACATTTCAAGGAGACTGAACTGCAGGAGAAGGCAAAAGGGACTTGCTCCTCACTTGGTGCTTGTGGTTTCTGTCCATTTTGCCCCAGCAATTGCTCTTCACCTGGAACAGATATTGCTTGCACACTTCAGTTTCTTTATGTCTTCCTAGGACCAGCCTCAAAGTACCTCTCACAGGTGCCCATGACAGCTAGTTGATGCCCTCCCGTTGAAGGGAGGGCTGCATCTACACCTCATCTCCATGGGGTCCTCTGAGTTCCTCAGGCACCTGCACCAACTAGGCAGCATGCTCTCCTTGAGGTATGCCTCCAAGCTCCTCAGGGCCTCTCTTCCAAATGTTTAGGTCTGATAACCCCAAGCTCCCCTTTGTTGCCCAGTCATTGGTGACAGCTGCCTCCTACATTTACTATTTCTGCCATACTTCAGTACTTCCTTTTGGCTTTCTTAGTTCTTAAACACGTGTGTAACTAATCCCTTTGATCAAATTCTCTTGGCTGAAATATCTAGTGTTGTTTTTGTTTTGCTGACTGGACCCTCACTGGAAGGTATTCGTTTGCATCGTTCTCACTAGACTGAGGTCCTTAAGAACAGAGATATTATTAAACAGTCAACTAATGTTTTCTGAGTGATTCCTTTGTAGAAAGAAACAATTATACCCTTGCACTATTGCTGTTGATCACCCCTTCCTTACCTGGAGCTCTATCACCCTGAAGAGAGAGATTGGTTAGTATCCAAGACATCCTTTTCTAGCGGTCAGGGTACTCAGGAGCTATTCCTTCTTCTGCACCTTTTAAAGTTCAGCCATCTTTCTCTTTCCTTCACTGGCAACTCAAAACACGCTGCTCTTAAGATTTTTGATTCAAAAGAAAATAAGAGTCTCACTTGGAGTTCCAAGGCTAAGACCAATAGCTCAATACAACTTTTATCACAGATGTATAGACTGGGGTTACTGAGTGTATGGTTCACTAATATAAAAGGGAATTTTAACACATCCTTCTATCTTTACATGTTTTGTTTCCTTAAGAACTTTGTGGGGATGAAGATTGTATTACATTCATAGCAAACTACTCCCAAAACATAGTGGGTTAAAACAACAACCATTTATTTGCTCATGATTTTGTGGGTTGGTGATTTGGAGAGGGCTCAGCTGGGAAAGATCACTGCTGCTCCACATGGTGTCACCTAGGTACATTGATGTGCTCGTGTTCAGTTGGTAGATCAGCCAAGGGCTGGCTGTCTCTGAATGTCTGATTATTTACTTGGATGATGAAGACAACTGAGCTCCATGTCTCTCCAAGTCTTTCATTCAGCTAATTAATCTGGACTTCTTCATATGGCGGCTGCATCCCAAATGCAGCAAGAAAAGGAGAGCAAGCCCAATTATGCAAGTGATTTTCAAGTCTCTTCTACCGTTTCACTGACCCAAACAAGTCAAGTCACATGGCTAAGCCCAGAGTCAATATGGGAAGGAACATGACCTGGAAGAACCTGCATGATCCAGAGCCAGGCCTGTCTCTCCAGTTTTGTCTACAGCTTCTCCAGACTCCACACAAATCTTCTGCCTCCAGCCTCCTATCTGCTTCACTCTAACTCTATTTTATGATTTAGATCTACAGAACTAACCATATTTTCCACATTTATTTTTTTAAATATTTAAATGTTAATTTATTTCTGATTATATTATCAAACATTCTTGATTAATACAGTAAAATTAATGGAGGTGGTCTACATTTTCTTCTCCATTAGGCAACAATCTGAGGTTAACTTTACTTCTTCTCACTCAAATCCTTTTGGTAAACACTTCAGGCTTTGTGGGCCACTTATGGTCTGTGTGGCATGTTCTTTCTTTCTTTTGCAGTTCTTTAAAACTGTAAAAAATCTGTTTTCTATTTTTTATTTTTATTTGGAGTCTCACTCCGTTGCCCAGCTGGAGTGCAATGCACACTCAGAGTCATCCCAGTGTTGACCTGCTGGGCTCAGGCGATCTATCTGCCTCAACTTTCCAAGTAGCTGGAACTACAGGTGCGCGTTACCATGCCCGGAAATTTTTGATTTATTGTAGAGATCTTGCCAAGTTGCCTGGGCTGGGCTTGAACCCATGGGTTCAGGCAGTCCTTTAGCCTTGGCCTCCCAAAGTGCTGGGATTACAGGCTGAGCCACCGAGCCTGGCCTAAAAAAACATTCTATTTTTTTTCCCCAGTGAAACAGTTACAGTTTAAATACTGAAGAAAGTATACATTGATATTATTTTTATACAAAAATTTTAGAAATGTGTGTCAGACCATGCTGGGAACTCACACAAAATGAGAAAGAAAAGAAAGGAAAAAGCCCTATGTGCACAAATATGCTGCAGAGATAGCTACAAGTTGGAAACAACCTAAATGTCCAGTAAAAGGGGAATGGCTGAGTAAGTTATTATATACTACACGAGAGAGCTGTTTAAGTTGACAATTAGACAGACTTCATATCAACATTTAACTTAAAAAAAAGTTACAACATTGAAATTTTAGAGAAATTATGCTTTTGAAAAAAGTTGAAGTGAATAGGTAATTGTTTACATGGCAAATTATAGAGTTTTTTCACATTTTATATCATGTTTCCATATATATATATATACACACACTCATAAGAGATGCGTAAATCTGTAAGTTCAAAATAATTTGATATAGATGCCTAAAATTGCTGAGTGAGAAAACAATGAGAAAGATTCCTGTTTTGTGGTTCCTTTTTATCACTATAAGCATGGTACTTTGCTAACACTGTGGGAGTTGTGTGTGCCACCTCAGGTAAAGAAATCCTAGTCAACTGCATGCTCTAAATTACTGTGTTTCCACACCAGATGAAGCCCAGGAAAGGGCAGTGATGCTTGTGTCCCTAGATGAGCAATTATTTTCCCCATATAGTATGTATTCATCCATTCCCCAAAAATAAATAAATAAATCCTAGAATTCAATCGAAAAACTTATAGACAAAAAAATATGCAAATCATTTCACTGGGCTGAGAAACTAAACCTAGAATTCAATCTAAAAATTTCTAGATAGGTAATTTAAATATTTCTAGTTTTGTAATTCACAAAACAACATGACACTGGATGGAATATTTTCCTCATCTGAAACAACTTTCAATATTAAGTGGTTACGCTTGACATAAAGGACTAGTTATCACTTAAAATAGTATTTTATCATTTGTCTATCATTATTTATAAATGTTATTAGTTTGAAGACTAATTAAATCTATTTTCAGCATTTTTTTGCAGAGTTTTGGAACCAGCTTGTTTTGAATGCTCTAACAGCTTGATGGCCTTGTCAGAGTTTTCAATATTTCTAAGCAGAGTCTCTAATCTTCTCTTAATTTTCTTCTCCTCTTCAAGTGCACAGTCAATTATTATGGATTGAAACTTCTGATCAACTGGCCTGGATGGCACCTCAGACGAACATGCCCTGTAGAGTGACATCAAATGACTCTTGGCATTTTCCAAATCATCCAGAAACTTAGAGATCACCTCATCAGTAATCCTCGTGGATGCTTTAGGGATTCTTGCTGCTGGGGGTTTCCACGGAAAAGTCAACAGTCAGAGTTCGTCCCATCAAGCGGTTTGCAGTCAGATTTAAATCTTCTCTTTCTCTGTCACTGATCTGCCTCATGTCCTGGCTGTTCTGGATACTGTGGATCATTTCCAGGAGGATTTCTTTCTCTTGCTCAACAGCAGTGGTTGCTTCTCTCAAAGTGTCAACCCGGAGCTCCAGCTGGTCCGGGCTCCCCAGCAGGCAGCTGGAGCGGTCGGCAGTGGAGGACAAGCGGCAGAAGCACCCCTCGTTGGCTTGGGAGTTGATCCCCACCTGAGCCATCTGAGCCTCCGAGGGGGCGGTGAGGCCACCGCTCTCCAGCTGCAGGAGACAGGATTGGATGCTGAGTCTGACCCTGGGTTGGATGTGGTGCTGCAGTCTTCTCCAGGGCCTTAGAACAAACCTCCGTAGTGGGCTCTGGGGTTACAATAAGCCCCAGGCCTGGCTGAGTTGGGGTCTCCTGCGTGGTTTGAGAGAACCTCTGTAGTGGCTCTGGGGTCATGGTAAGCTCCAGGTCTGGCTGAGTTGGGGTCTCCTGCATGACTGGAGAGAGTTTAACCCCAACAGTGGGCTCTGGGGTTACGACGAGCCCCAGGTCTGGCTGAGTTGGGGTCTCCTGCATGGCTGGAGAGAGTTTAACTCCAAAAGTGGGCTCTGGTGTTACGACGAGCCCTAGGTCTGGCTGAGTTGGGGTCTTCTGCGTGACTGGAGAGAGTTTAACCCCAACAGTGGGCTCTGGGGTTACGACGAGCCCCAGGTCTGGCTAAGCTGGGGTCTCCTGTGTGGTTGGAGAGAGCTTAGCCTCTGAAATAGGCTCTGGAGTTACCGCCAGTTCCACGTCCAAAGGCTGTTGTGACGCGAGTCAGGTTTGTGTGCTGGGTCTGAACCTGGCCAGGGTGCTTTGAAGTCGCTGTAGTAATCTGGGTTGTTAACTGCTCAGCCTCCGCAGTGGATGCTGGGAGATGGTGAGTCCCAGGTCCAACGCTGACCTGTGACACTGGGCGATGGTAGATGCTGAGCTTGATCCTGACCTGGTGCTGAAACTGTCGCCCCATGGTGCACCGCAGGTTGAGCTACAACCTCCGTAGGAGGCTCTGCAGGCTGAGCAGGGACCGTTTGCTGGACCGGAGCAGATGCGGCCTCCTTCGGGGGCTCCGCAGACTGAGTGACAGCCCCCTGCCCGGTCGGAGATGGTCCCATCTCCTCAAGGAGCTCTGGAGGTGAAGATGAGGCAGCCTGCTGGGTTGGGAAGGGTTCCGCCACCACAGGGGGTCCTGAAGGCTGAGTCGGGGCCTGCCGCAAAACCGGAGACTGGTCCTCCTTAGGGGGCTCTGGTGGCTCAGCAGGGGCTTCTTGTCGAACTGGAGAAGGCTCTGCCTCCTTGGGAGGGTCTGGAGTCTGAGCTGTGTGCTCTTGCGGGGCTGGGGACGCTTCTACACCCCCAGGGAGCTTCCGAGACTCAGGCAAGCTCCCTGAGGGCTTGGAGGACGTTCCTCGGGCAGCTCTTCAGGCTGAGCTGGGACCCCTTGATAGACTGGAGAATCAGTGGCGTCTGGAGTCATGGTCACCACGGGCTCCACAGGCTGCACGTGGTCGTGACTCGGCGCAGCATCGGGCTCACCAGGAAATTGTGGAGGCCGAGCTGAGGTTTCCTGCTGGCTGGCAGACGGGTGAGCCTCCCCAGAAGACTCAGGAGGCTGAGTTGGCTGCTCCTGCTCACCGGGGGAAGCTCCAGCCTCCTACTCTGCCGGGGCCTCTTGCTGGGCTAGAGAAGGCCAAGCCTCCACAGGAAGCTCAGCTGGGATGTTCCTGGGTTGCAAGCTCCGCCTTCTCCGGACGCTCTGGAGACAGCGCTGAGGCCTCTTGCGGGGCAGCGGGAGCCGGGGAGCGGGGCGGGGTCTCTCCCAACCTCAGCAGCCCTTCAGCCTAGGAGCAAGGCCACTGCCCATCTGCAACTGACAACGGAAAGCGGTGCGGGCGGCTCCTGACGTCATCACGCCGGCCAGATGCGCCGGCCCTGCCCCGTCTTGCGGAGCCAATCGCGGACCCTGGAGGAGCTGTGGGGCGGGGCCTGTGGCTCCCGGAAGCCCTAGGGAGCCGGGCCCCAGAGCAGGCACGTGGTGCGGGCGGGCGGGTACCCCGGGATGCTATCCTGGCGCCGGGAGGTTGAGAACTCGGGGTGGGCAGACCATGGGGACAGCGGGAGAGGGGAGCCGGGCGGGGTCGCCCCTGACCTTGGCAGCCTCTCAGCCTGGGAGCCAGCCAAAGGCCGATGGACAACCGACTCCACATTTATTTATACTACCAGGCTTTTGTGTTGTTTTTCAGTCTTTCACATACTTTTTTAATCACCATTTTCCTTTCTCTTCCTCTCTTGACCAACTGCTGGTCATCCTTCAAGTTTCAGCTTAAATAGAACCTTCTACTGGACACTTCTTCTGAGACTGTAAATTACAGAACCCAGCTCTTTTCCTATCATATGACATATGAAGCTTATCTGTTTGCTTATCTGCCTTCTGCATCAGAATTGGAGCTTTATAAGGATTGAAATGATGCACTTTGATTCACATTGAAACTATGCACATTGGCGAGAGTTATATTTCTATGAAAACTTGCCCTAGCTTATCAAACTTATTCTTTCTAACCTTCCAGAGGAAAGAGTTTTCCAGAATAGAAGAAATAGGCCTGTTTGTCTCTTGTATTAGGATATTGCAAGACCTAGCAAGCCCAGGATAGCAACACAATCTCCCATCCTTTCTGAACTCTTGTTTGGTCAATGTGTCTGTCATTGGCTTTCCTGAATTTGAACTGTTTTCCTTAGAAATCAGTTCACCTATCATCCACAATTACTCTAGCATGCTCCCTGGGGGTGTTGGAGTGGAGGAAGAGAAATACAACTGCTAAGATATTAGGTTTTTCATTTCATAAAGATTGATATTCATAGACATCAATGGAGAAAATTGAACCCGTGTGGTGCAACATTAGGGGTATGACTCAGATCCCCAGGCTAGAATTAACATCTCAACAGAATCCTTGGTATTTCTACTTAGAGAACATGTGCTGTGGGCCAAATTCCAGACTATTCCAGCAGTACTCTCCCAAAAGCTGTCTTTGGCATCCATTATTGATTAATATTTGTATGACTTTCAAGAGTTAGAAGAAGACCTTGCTTTTGATTAGAAGGAATCCCCACACATACTGTCCCATCACCTCAAAAGTCAGTATGGAAGCAATATAAGCTTCTATAAAGTAGCTAGTCATCTAAAAAGGGACATCTAAAAATTCGTTTCCTCCACAACCAATAGTTGTTAAAATTTGGATGCCATCATTTGTTCACAATGTATGCATACTGACTTGTACATAGAAAATACATAACAACTACATAATAAATAAATGAATGATGTTGGTCAACAATAAGTGATGGAGACCATAATCAAGTCTGTGTTCCAATGAATTAAAATTACAAGCAGGAAGCATACCTTATAGAAGGTGCTTAACAAATATTTGTTGGATGAATGAATGAATAAATGCATAAAGCTCAAGCCATAGTTGCCAGCAAAATTAAAAATCTTAGGAGTCAACCTCTTCTCTTGATATTTCCCCAAAAATCAAAATTAATTATCCTTGAAAACTAATTGAACATTGAGTTTCTGATTCTTCTTGAATATATTAACAAAAGAAAAAAAATAAAAGAGGACCACCTGGGGAAATAAATTTTATGATGGTAGGCTTGAAGAGACAAATTTGATTTGACCTGGCACGTCCAGATAGAAATTTAGCAGGTAGCAAAGGGAAAACAATGTCGGTGTCTCAAGACAGGGACATGAGCCCTGCCTATCACTCTTTATCCAGAGTTATTAGAGTTGAGTAGAAGTCAGCTTGGCTTTGCACCTTTTTTTCTGCATGAAGCCACAGATTCAACTCAAAATAAACAGGGAGGGCAGCACAACATGAGGAAAGAACGCGGTGCTGCAGATTGACATACCTGTATTCAAATCCAGACCCACCAGATTACAAATGCTAAGGACTGAGTAAATCCTTTCACCTTTTTGGTCTTTAGTTTCCCCATCTGTAAACAACTACAATAATGCCTAAGTATGTGGTAAGTAGTAAAAGAGAAAGTGATTTGCAATAAGCACTGCTGCATTGTGAAAACTGTCATTATCATTACTGTAAGCAGAGCTCTTGGCCACAATAACTTAAAATATAATCAGATCCATATTTGAAACTCGAATTCATAAAAATCTATGTTCCTAATCCATCATCTGTTCCTTGAGTGATTTTTCAATTGCTATTTGTTCATTTAACAAGTATTTATTGAGTACCTACAATTGGTTAGATAATGGACTAGGCATTGAGAGGATATAATGGCAGGCTGAAAAGATACTATCACTCTCCTTACAGACCTGATAACTAGGCATATACTGACTTGTAGTCAAACACAAGCTGGATGTTGAGAGCGTCTTAAAACAAATCCCTGGGGGAGTCGGGAAGATGGCAGCAGAACCAATCGGAGTATGCGAGTCCCCGTATGAGTGAGAGAGTGTCCCAGAAGTGAAGTGCCATTGTTTTTTCTAAAACAACATAAGTTTTCCTTTGAAAAAGCAGCAGGGAGAAACTATTGCCCCAGGCTCTCCCTCACCATTGAAGCAAGAGAGAGACTGCTGGCTCCTGGCTTTGCCTCACCACTTCAACACCTGGCAGGGCTCTGGCAGGGGTTGCATGCAGAGGGAGTACAGAGGCAAGTTCCCACAGAAGAGGACAAGAGTGGCTCCCCACCACCATCTTGAAGACAGGGCAGGAAAGTGCTCTGACTTGTTCACCATGGAGGAACAGACCCGATCTTTGCAACTGGAGTATCAACTAAGTAGGGATTGATTGTGTCCCAGGGAATATCCTGAGAACACAAATTTCAGAGGGACTTGACGAGTGCTGAGTTCCAGGCGCCCCACCCCCTGCCCTGATCCAGCTGCAGGACAAAGGGTGTGGCCAGAAAAAGACGAGGAAGAACCCCAAAGAGATCAGGGGTGAATCCGGGGCTAACCCAAACCCCCTCCTCCCCAGCAATCCGCTGAGTATCAGACCCACACAACTGAGTCACAACTGAGAGGGACAAACCCAGGCGGAGCAATAGGGGAACTCCATTCCAGGATTGGCCTGGCTGGGGCACCCCCAGTGAGAGTACATACCTGGGGCGGAGACAATCCCATACTTCCCCATGGGAAGGAGATCTCCCTGACCATATGAGAGTGGGAGGGGAGGACTGCAGCCCCACCCACATC